TTGAGGATCTGTTCCTCAGGGGTCACATGGGCTTGGGAGGAGCCCCAGGCTCCTTTCTTTTACCAATTCTGCCTATGTGAAGATAAGTCAAAGGTCCTACTCGACCATTACTGGCTTCATTTGGAAGCATGGAGGAAATGATTCCTCTATGTTGACCTTCCTCTTTGTAGAATGGATGCTGGTTCAAGTCCATCATGTCTCCTCAGCCTCCTTGATCAAGAAAGAGGACAGGTGACCCACCACAATTACAGGACAATATTGTATAACTGTATTAATTCAACTGTGAACCTAGAAACTTGCACCCATTTGTGAAAGAGATGTACTCTTGCTCTGGAGTGTGTTACTGAATATGTTAAAGCTGTAGTGAAATGTTTCTTCTAATCATGTAGTTATTAAAAATTTTAAAAATGATTAAAAAATAATAATAATTCTTCAAATCATAAAAATTTGCTCCTTAATAATTAGTAGATGTGAAAAACATTGCCACTGAAATCTACCTGATGACTTTATATCCATGCTCAGATGCCAAGTAGAGAAGTGGATGAAACCCAGGGTTCTCACAGCAGGAGCAGGTCATCTCTTCCCCCCAAACTGGCCCTGATCAGGAATATCTGACTGCTTAGTCACCTCACCTACTAGCCTGCCAGCTTGCCAACCTGCCAGTCCATCCTTCCTACTCACTCTCAAGATAACTGTAATAATTCAACTGTAAACCTAAAAATTTACAGCCAATTTTGAAAGAGATGCATCTTTCCTCAGGAAATTGTTATTGACTATGTCTATGCTGTTGTAATGAAATGTTTCTTCTAAGTATGTGGTTGTTAAATAAATAATTTTTAAAAAACTACAAAACTAAAACTGAAATTTAAAATATTTCAAATTTAATTTTTGTGTATTTCACATAGAATATCTTAATCATCTTTATACCCCCTTTCCCATTGGTAACTGCCCATAGCTCCCCACTGGAGTTCATATATTTGGTTAGCTATGTTCAGGCCTATCAGGTAAAGTTAGTGTCCCTGGATGTCCCTCAGTGCAAGTTTATCCACTGAGGTCTAGTCAGCCTACCTAGAGTTCCTCCCTTTAAAAAGCCAGCTCTTCCTCACCCAGCAGTAATCAACTGCCAATAATTCTTCAACTAAGATTAGGGCCTGCTGTCCATTTCCACAGTTCTGTGCTGGGTTTCTGTCTGCTTGAGTTTGCATGGGTCTTATGCATGCTGACACCATTGCTGTAGGTTCATATGAGAAGGGTTTCAGGAGCCTGGAGGACTCTATTTCCATATGGTCATGCACCTCTTCCCTGGCTCTTACAATCTTTTCACACCCCTCTTCCACAATGGTTCCTGAGCCCTGGGTGGGTGGATTTTAATATGAGTCCTGTTCAAGAACCCATGCTGTGCAGACTCTTACTCTACGTTTTGGCCATTTGTGACCTTTTGTGTTCCTGGTCCTCTGCTGTATGAGGGAACTTCATTGATGTGAACTGAAAGATGCATCAGTGTTCTCCTCATCCCTTGTTCTATGCTCTGTGAGCCTTAGGTGTAGAGGTTGCATCGTAGATGTGCCACTTAGGTCTGGGCAATTCACAGACTATCTCTGTGTGTGACCAGTTGTGGAGCTCTGTAATCATCTCTCTCTCTTGAAAAAGAAGCTTCTTTGATGGGTGGTGACTGGGATACTTCTCTGTAAATTTAAAGATTCATATTTTTTGCACATAGTAAGAAATTACATTTGTCTAGGGATGTGACAGCCTTGGGATTTTCTCTAAGATCTATGATCTCTCCCGCAATGTGTATTTGGCTACAGTAGGTTTACAGTACCACGTGAGTTTCCAATTAGGTAGCTTCTGATTACCTCCCCAAGATAAAAGTGCCACTACTGCACCAATGTCATTTGCTGTACCAATCATTGATGTGAAAACCAAAACTAAGTTAGAGTGATACTAGATTGCCTGAGGATCACAGCAGAAGGTATAGGACAGAGGAATGCAGAAGAGTATAAGAAAACTATTGGGGGGATTTATGTGATTGATTGATATGTTTATTAACTTAATAGTGACAATAGTTTCTTTGGTCCACACATATAACAAAACGGATGGTACACTTTAAATACTGTTTATTGTTGTATATTAATAAAGCTATCTAAAAAAAATCTTCCATCCTCCATCACAACCATTCTAGGTATTTCTAAATTAATTTAGGTTTTGTGTGTGTGTGTGTGGGGGGAGCCAATGTTTTGTACTGGAAATACAAGGTGCTTATATTCTTGTAGGAAGAGACTTAAAATTGATAATCATGACTAAAAATACCAGATGGTGGCACTTGTGATTAAGATAAAAATAATTAATTGGGGTACTATTAAAATCTTTCCAACTGGGTATAGAAGAGTGGTCTCTGAGAAGATAATACTGATACAGAGAAAATGAATGCTAACAAGGGGCCACAATGTCATCGTGGAGGAGCATCAGCTATTTCCTTCTGTAAACCTTCCTAAAGACCCCTTCTGAATTCTAACAAAGACTGTGCTGATCATATACTTCTTCTGTTTATCCTCCTTCAACCTCTACTTCCAATTTCTTAAGTTTGATATCAGCTCTCCATTCTGGCATCACAGGTCTACCATGTGTCATCAACTACCACTGCAGTGTTATTTTTCACTATCCCTTTATTTTTACATGGAAAAAGTCCTGATCTCAAATGTTTCCTTTCATTTCATTATGCCATTTCTCTGCTTGAACTGTCCATCCTTCTCCATCTATGCATCCCTCTATCCTTTAGCGTTTGCCTCAAACAGCAGATCCTCTTTGATGGCTTTCTGATTTTCCCAGCCAGATTTGACTTCTTGTTCACATTCTCTCCTGCCATTTTTTCTTAATGAGTGCAGTCATCATGCTCATCTTTCTGTCACATTCCAGATAGTGGCACAGGGTTTTGAAGGTAAGAGAAAAGCTATGATTTCTACTAGACTCAATTATCTTAGTTTATATTTTACCTGAAAGCCAAACGAAGATAAATATAAAGACAAATTAGTGCATCCGACTTATCTTGCCCCCAAATCTATGACTGACGTGGTAAGTATAAGCTAAGCTTGAAAAAAACAGACTGATCTTTACAATTTCAGTGACTGTTATATAACTAACCAACTCTTTCTCAGGAGAACTAGCTTAAACCCTCTTTCTCTTCTGAGTCTAGGGCCAAGCCAATATAAGCAGGGTTTGAAGATAGGGAAGAGGTGTGCTGTTCCCTTTCTCAGTACCAACTTGTATTGGTGACACTGCCTTTGCAAAGGACCATGGTTAGATTCCTAAGAACAGTAGTCAGTGGAGAAGAAACAAATATAATTTCAGAAATGTGTGTGTTAGTGGTTCCCCAGGTCTCACAGGCCTGATAATGTTAGGATGATTCACTGTAGAGGGGAGTATATAGCCAAATCACAGTTACAATTAATTATAATGAAAGGACATAAAGAAAAATCATTAAAGGAACAAGTCTCACTTGTTGAAGTCTAGAAAAAACCAAGTACAAGCTTTCTAGAGTTCATCCCAGTAGAGTCATAGGTCATGTTTAATGTTCCATCCAATTGTGAGCATATGCGTGAAATATGGTCAGAGCTCACTGAAGATTTGCTGTTCAGGGTTTTTATTGGGCCTGGACTTACAGGTATCCTTTCTGAACAGGGCTATATTGAAAATATTCATATTTTTTGATGTAAGAATCAGTATGTGTTTGTGTGTGTGTTCTGGGGAAACCAGGGCCTGAACCCAGGGCCTTGGTACACACTAGACAAGCATCTTCCTGCTAAGCTTTATTCTTAGCTCCAGTATTTTTATGCAAACAGTATGAATTATAGCAAAGTTACATACACAAAGAAGTTATCAAGATGTTATTTTAGTTAAAAATACAAACATAAAATTTGTGGAATAGTTCAGTAATTTTCAGTATAGCAATATGAAGAAACATTAAATAGCATTAAAATCATACTTTCAAAAATTTAATGACAAAATTATTTAATAAACTAAGTTATATACATACATACCAATAACTCAAAAATGGGAAAAATATAGGATGAAATCTAGAAAAGGCATACTAAAATGTAACCATGATTCATCTCTGCGGGATGGGTATATAAAAGGATATTTTCCTTGAGACATTTTCCCTGCCTGTAAGGGAATCTGTCCCATGTGTTTCTTTGCTAATAAACTCTATTCCGATGGAGAAAAAAAAAAAAGAATATTTTCCTCTAGGCCTTTTTAATTGTTTTCAATTCTTTTGAAAATTTTAAGATAGAATCTCATTATGCAGCTCTGGCTAACCTAAAACTCACTATGTAGATTGGGCTGGTCTTGAATTTGCATCAATTCTTCTGCTTCTGCCTCTTGAGTGCTGGGATTACAAGCCTGTGTCACCACAGGGGGCTGTATTTTCTTTTTCTCTTCTTTTATTTAAATGAATCTTTATAATTTTTATACATATACTTTGATGGTATTTATATATATTATATATAATTTATAATAAAGCCTATAAAGTGTAATTTGTGTGCCCAAATGTCCTTCAACATGGGTCCATCCAGTGGAGCCTGGTTAACTCACCAAGAGTCCCATGCTTGAAAGAGACTGTCTTTGCCCCTCCCAGCAGCCATCTGCTGACACAATTGCCTTAGGTGGCATTGGAGCATCTTATCCACTTCTTCATGTTTATGCTGGGATATTTTTCTGGTTTGAGCTTGCATGGGACATGCTGTCACTGTTACTATGAGTTCGTATGAATAACTACGCAGCTGTCTGAAAAACTGATTCCTTGTAGTCATTCACCTTCTCTGGCTCTTACAATCTTTCTGCCCCCTCTTCCACAATGATCCCTGAACCTTGGGGGGCAGAAATTTGATATAGGCGTCCTATTTAGGGATAAGCACTCTGCAGAGGTGGCTGTAATTTCAATTCTTATTTAATGATTATATAGTGCTTTACTAATCAGAAAATATGTTACAATAATCATAATAATTAAGGAAACTGTATTAAAAGTTTATATATTTTGGTTTGTGACTCCAAAGTCAATATTAAAATATATTTAACAACCACAAAGAGAATATAAGTATAATATATAGGCAGAACTTACACTACTATAGCACTTCTCTAGCACGCATGAGGCCATGATTCCATACCAGCACTAAACTTGCCAGGGGTCAGAAAGGTATTCTGGCAGTATGTTATCTACAATCTTTAAACAACAATACTAGTCTTGGCATTAACCTTAAACTACATTCTCCTATAATTAAAATGATCAAGAATATTTAAGTTACCTTTCATAATAGGTTATTTACTGTCTTTTAAGTATACGAGTTGCTTGCTGTTAACTTGCTGTTCTATAGTCTCTGTTGTACCACTGGTATATAAGAAAATGCTAAAAGAATTTCATTGAATATATTTGAGGTATCACAAAAAGCAGCTTGCTTTTTAATCTGTGCATGGTTGTGAGTTTTGAAGAAATTTTATTCCTTGCTCTAGAAAGAAACTGTTGTTAAGAACTAGGAACTCTGTGTGTGTGTGTGTGTGTGTGTATGCATGTGTATGTGTACAATGAAGCAACATGAGCTGAGAATGCAAATATGTATATAAATATATATACATATAATAGAGTAGTAGGTAACCATTAGAATGGCAAATGACCACTGACAATGCAATTTTTCTACTTGTTTCTTTCTTCAATTAGCTAATATAGAAGAAATGGGTAGAGGGGAGAAAGATATTTTCTTATGAACTTTTTAAAAGGCCCGAGGGTTAAATTTTATTGTAAGGAAGAAATGGCTCACAAGCTAGCAAATGCAAAAATAAAAATATTTCTTCAATGGGTAGAACAAAGGATAAATTTCCTAAAGTGCTTTGCATGTTTTCATGATCAATTCATTCAATATTAATAATTTAAATCATAAAGTTTTCATTGTTCTAAGGACAATTAGACATTTATGAGCTTCTTTTGGGGAAGGTGATTTCTAAAACATCCAGTTCCAATTCCCATTTGTTTTAATGTACGTTCCCTAGTCACAGCCACAACTCCAGAGAAAGCCACTTTCCTACCACAAGATTCTCCATTGCTGATTAAATTGCCATATAGAAAATTGACCACTACTGTATCCTCTTATCCCTAAACAGATGAAATGGTCTGTAGCTTAGTTGAAATCACAAAGTAATAATTTTGTGTACTGAATTGGCTCAAGGCTGTGGAGGTTGTGAAACAGAGACCCACAGAGTGGGCCTCACTTACCATATGATCTCCACTTGTGGCTCCTCAGTCATACCAGAACATGCAGACCTGGAAAGGTACTCCATGTGCGGGTAATGCGTTCTGCCTCTGCAGTGATCCCTGGGCCAAGTTAGAAAAACTAATTCACTGCAGTGGCAAGCATACTCAGAAGAAGGGGGTTGGGGGGTAGGGGAGAAGGGCACAGAATTTTTCTGGTTAGGAAGGGAAATGTGGTTAGTCTAAATTGGACCTGGGGTAAAAATGAAGGAAGCAAGAAGCACTCCCACTGCTGTGGTTCAACTATGCATTTTTGTTCCCATTAATTAAAAAACAAAAAAACCTAATTGTTAACCGGTTTAGCTACATTTTGAAACTTAACTGTCTTTAAAAGGAGACAAGTGCTTTAAAGGGCTTTGTTTAGGAAGGTGGTGGGGAAAGTTCAGATGAACAAAGTGTTGCCACATATTCTTTTGAGTCAAATTTATTAGCTAATGAGAAAGTCAGCAAATGGTACTTGTTTGGTGGCTGCTTCATTACAGTCAACAACCCTCCAAACTCTTTGTTTCTTCTGTTCTCTTTCTTAGGAAGAAACAGATAACATATTTTTTAAATTAGATAGGACTTGGAATTTAAAAATAGCTTGCCTCCCCCTCTATCTCCCTCCTTTCCTTCCCTCCCTCCCTCCCTCCCATCTATCTTCTCTCTGTCTCTCTCTCTCACAGATACACATACACATTACATACCTTTCACATACACACCTTGTTTTTATTTTTGTTTGGTGGTTGTTGGGAAACAACACCAGCAATTTGGACTGGCAAAGATAGAACCAGTACAAAATGAATGTTGGACTTCCAAAATTCCTGTAGCATGTAGACTGAAAACACATGCTTTTTTCCTGACAGAAAGAAGAGACATATGATCCAACAAGGAAGAATAAAAATTCCAGAGGGTAGATTCAAGAACCTGGAGACTTCTTTCCTGGCAGGAGTAAGCTTTGCCTAATCAAGGATCTTCTAACCACTGGACTTGCTACACCAGCAACACCTGTGTGCCTCTTCATGGCCATTGTGTGCACAGGTATACTCATGACAAAAGAGGTACAGCAGTGACCCACGACCATGAATCCACTATTCCTAACATATATTGCATCATCTAGAACCTGTCCACCTGACCGCACTGTAGGACTGTCTCTCAATAAAGATGGAAGACAGGTGTCAACCTAGAGATGAACCTCGTGAGGATGAGATACTATTATTCCAGATACAGTTTACTTCTTTACTATTTAATTTAACTTAAAAAAATAACCTAGGTTCAAATCTAACAAACATATATTAATGAAGAAGCTTTAGAGGTGCTATTTGCCACCTCTAAAATTTCAGGTCTTTTTTTATTCCCTATGAAATAGGAATATCCAACAAATGAGACTTTTTTTTTTTTCCCCCTTTGGTCTTTTTGAAACAGTGTCTCTCTTTAGCCCCAGCTGGTCTGGAACTCACCATGTAGACCAGGCTGGCCTTGAACTCACAGAGATCCACCTGTCTCTGTTTAAGCCTAAGTGACCCAAACAAAGTAATTTCACTGTAAGAAGCTATATAAGCATTTACAATTTTGTTGCTATTAGGCTACTTTATGTAAAGTACTTAACAAATGTTCACAAAATTATTGATGAACTGAACTAATTATAGTGCACAAATGCTAAGAGTGGATAAATTAAGAGACAAAACCAACAAGAACACATTCACTGAAAGATTAATAGATGTTTGAAATGTGTGGGAATGCATGCCTATAATCCCAGGGTGGGGAGAAGAAAGGAGAAGGATTACAAGGTGTGTATGTTTGTTTGTTTTTGTTTTTTGAGACAGGGTCTCACTTCTGTAGCCCAGGTTGGCTTTGAATTCAAGGCAGCCTGTCTGAGACTAACTTAGGTTATAGTGAGTTCCTGTCTCAACAAACAAATGCTCCCCAAACAAAATGAATAGATATTAGTGATTTACTAATATTTTATATGAGATTACATTGAATGGCTCAGAAATATCTCAGGTGAAAACAATGCTTAAGCACATAAATAGGTCAGGCATGGCTGACAGAGGCTACTAAATCAGGAATCTTTAAGATAGAGTGGTACTAGAATACAAGGCTAAGATCTTAGAGTTTTAAGTTCAAATACCAGATAATATGTTGTGTAATCTTCAGAAAATCATTTACTCTTTTCCTTAATCTCTCTCTCTCTCTCTAATTACCTTGCTCAAATGTACAT